AATATAAGTTCTTCTCTCTCTCTCTCTAAAATATATTTGGGTAATCTTTCAAAAAATAAAACAAAAAAATGGATTAGCCTCGATTTGAGTCCTAATTTACGACACTGACAATTCGAATTGAACAACCCACTAACACATATATAATACCTAATAATTAGCAAGAAAATAATAATATGAAAATGACTTTTATAACCAGTACTTTAAAAATTGGACCGGTACAACCAATTTAATCGAAAAAATTGAGAATCGGGATCAAAATCGGCCCAATTAGGTTTATAAAACCTCTAATTACAAACCCGCTATAAAATTCATTGAATCAACCAATTTTTGAAAAATCCGTTACCCATTTCTTGTTTAACCGGTTGAACTTATATAAATGTATATTTTAAAAAAATTTTAAATGTATATATATATTATTAAAATAGTAATACCTTTCGCCGTTATTGCGAAAAGTCATTACCTTCCATTTTTTTGGCATTTTCACTTTTAATTATACATTTGATTGCGCAAACCATCATTTTCATTCAATTTCTCAATGAAGAACTGTGAAATGATTAATATACTATCGTATTTAAATAAAAAATGGAGTCCAAACAACAGCTAATTACCCTTTATTTTCTACCACGCATTCCTTCATAAAATAACGTTACACGTAAACTTAGATATTTTTTCTTATTTTCGAATCTCATATTTACTAAAAAAAAAAATTACTATTTCAAAATACATTTCAGTGAACCCCAAACATATCATTATGAACAAGGATAATATCCTACCTCTCTTGAAAATGGTCAAACTTTCACCACCTAAGTTTACGCGTAATTTGCTATTCATCGTGGCAATTTGTGATTTGATACATGAATATGATAATTTTTTTATTAACTTTTACATCAAATCACAAATTGACATGTTATTCACTACCCATAACATTATTCCTTTTTAACAGAGTTGAACTATTCTGTCAAAATCACACAAAATTCAAAATTAGTGAATGATTATAGCAGGCGGCAACCTGCAATGCCTTGAATGTCAACTACTTCAACAACACTCAAACAACAATTTCTACGCATGTCGTAACCTCAATTCACACACCTGAAAATGACAATTATGACATATTAACTGCTCGAAAATTGGAACCTTCTAATTCATATTAAAGAAAATCAAATAAATTACTCAATTTTCAAAAAGATAATAGGAAAAAAGGGGTGGCCCATTACATAGCTTTATCCAAAAAGTCTTTGTTGTTTATTTCTTGCACTTTCATTACTTCTATTAATATTTTTTGGTTAAGATATTATCACTAGATAAACACTCCACTAGACCTTGAAAAAGCATTAACTTTTATTTAGCCGTATGATTCAATCACATATTTTTTAATAAAATAATATTACACGCAAATTCAAAATTTTTCTTTATTTTTTAATCACACATTCTTTATCAATCTAATATTTCAAAATACAATTTACAACAAAAAATGGAGCTCCAACATGCTCTTAATATGAAAAATTAAATAAAATATAATATATGTTGATACACGTTAATTAATTTAACAAACAATTCAATATACCAATTATGTAACGGATGAATACTTCAAGCAACATTATGCTCGACCGACAATCATTATTTTAGAACTCTTTAATGTAAAACTCATTTTCAAAGCCATATTTAGGCAATAAAATATTTTGTACGTAAATTCAAAATTTTTTTTCGAGTTTTTAATCACACATTCTCCAAAAAATCACTATTCAAAACTCTCTCAAAATAATGACCATCAAATAGGAACTTGACAAAACGAATTCTAACCATTTAGCCCCCATTTGACTCTTATTATTTGAAATTATAATTTTTAGAAGAATGTGCGGTTAAAAAAGAAAAAAATATCTTAAATTTATGTGTAATATTATTTTATTGGAGAATGTGCGATAATAAGATAGTGAAAAACAAATTATAATTCTAACGGCCACAAATGGGTCAATTATTAAATATTTTAGAATCTTAGTCTTGAAAACGTGTATATCTAAAAGAGATTTGAAAATTGGTAAAGAAGAAAGAAAAATAAGCAAGCACACGCGTCTTTATTTGACCTTCAAGGCATTGGGAGTTTTAATAACCTTAAAATATTCCCAATTTCAGACGTATGTGACGAATGTGAATGCCCACATCATAAAAAATTTCCAACGCGGGGTGAGGTGGGGTGGGTGGAGGCTCTTCACCCGTTAAAATATATGGAAAGGTCAAAATAAAGAAACTTCAACAAAACCATTTATCTGACTTTACGTGTGCACGCAGATACTTCTTGTAAAAATCTCTTTCAAGCCTGCTTTATATAAACCAAATGTTTGGTCCAGTTAGAGAAGAAAAAAAGAGGGATTCTGTCTAGTTTTTCATTGGAACGCCCTCTTGGTCTTGTAGTGAACATTTCTCAACTTACTCTCAATGGCAGAGCATCAAAGAATCCATCCAGTTCAGGACCCCGAGGCGGCAACGCCGCAGACCCCCACTGCTCCGCTGGTGCCCCGAGGTTCTTCCCGATCAGATAAAGGCAATCCCATTCCCACGGAACAATATCCACCATTCCACAGGACTATCCCGTATGCACCATCAAAACCACCACCAAGGAGAAGTTGCTGTAGAAAGTGCTTGTGCTGGACCATATCCCTTCTCCTACTACAAATACTAATCCTTGGCATTTTGGCTGCAATCATATACTTCGTATTCCAACCAAAAATACCAAAATACTCAGTTGATGCCATGAGAATAACTCAATTCGATTTCGGCAATGATAACAGCCTTTCTGCGGCGTTCAACGTCAATATCACTGCAAGAAATCCTAACAAAAAGATAGGTATATACTATGAAGGTGGGAGCCATCTCAGTGTATGGTACACTGGAACAAAACTTTGTGAAGGCTCATTGCCAAAGTTTTATCAGGGCCACCGAAATACCACCTTGTTGAACCTTACCTTAACGGGACAGACACGGAATGCAAACGGATTACTTGAGTCGTTGCAGGAGCAACAGCAGACGGGAAATATTCCTTTGAGGCTTCGAGCCAAGGTTCCGGTGAGGCTGAAGCTTGGAAAACTGAAACTGATGAAATGGAAGTTCTTGGTGAGATGCAGGCTGGTGGTAGACACTTTATCTGCAGATAATGCAATTAGAATCAGAGAGAGTAACTGCAAATTCAGATTCAGGCTTTAAATTTGATTTATTCTTCATGTTATGATGCCCATCCAGCTTGGGATGTCATATATTTCTTGTTCATTTTTATTTCTATTGTGTATTATTGTCATATTTATTCTTGTTGCACATGAAATAAGTGGAGGACTGTATGCTGTTTCTCTTCTCCATTCTATTACCGGTTATTGGTTATGATATCTGCTATAATAGATGATTGATTAGTTTAATGCGAGTCTCAGATCCAATTCTTTCTACTATTCATTTCTTTATAATCACTATTGAGATAGCTGTTCTGTTTTTCTTTCCTTTTCCCCTTCTGAGTTAACAACGTTGGCCTACTGCACCAAAATTTGGCAGAATTAGGAAGATTTATCAATCATTGTCCTCTCTCCATGAGAAAAAAAGTACAGGTCAAATTACTAAATTTAGATATGAAAAATGCAAGGATCTACTATACTGTAAAGATATGTTTCGATAGGTTAAAGTTGGTAAAAGCCAAAATAATTTAATGATTAAGAATGTGAAATATTTCATATGAAAAGTGCTCCTATAATAAGACCACGTACAAAAAGAACACACTTTGATAGAAAGCTACAATCAATCACGAGAAGACTTGTGAATTTGAAACACATGGCCAGTATGATAGAGCATACTAGTGAGTTCTAGAGCTTAGTGAATCCGTTAACTCTGAAGATAAATCTTGAAGACGAAATGCAAACACTTAAATCTTTTTGATAGTCAGGATACACGAGTGGTTTCGTTAAGCATCTCATAATAAGACTAATAGTTTCATCTTAAAAGGTTATCCTTCGTAATTAAGAAAAGTAGCTCAAGCCCCTTATACGTTAATTTATATTTTGGTACTTAAACCACGTGGGATTTATTTTTTAACATGTCCATGTAAGATGGTGACTTGCTTGAGAAAGATCAATTTTGAAATTCGTGTGCTCGTTTGAACTTATTAGACTCTAATATTGTATTAAGACTTTAGGTTCCATCTTAAAAATGACAAACTTATTAAGAGGAGTAACACAAGTTCTTGTATGGTTATTTATTTTGTGCCAGTATTCTTTTCAGATTACTTCTCCATTAAGGAGTATGCTAGGGTCCAATTCTTCTAGGAAATTTTTTTATCATCTGGAAAGAGTAAATTTCAGGACATATATCTGAAGTTAAATAATAAGAGAGCCGAGAAAGAAACTCGGGAGAGAGAAGAACTGTAACCAATAACATAAAATCACTTACTGACCAACTAATTGCCACAGAGAGCTTTTTCCTGAATAACACAATCGATTAAAATGTGTCCTGTATGAGCAACTTGAAACATTTCCATCAGCAGTTAGCTTTAGGCACAGAAGTTTTTTTGACAATAAAATATATCTCCAGGCTCTACTCAACAATTTTTTTCAAGCTATCAGTAATCCTATTCGATACTCTAGTGCCTATTTAAATTTCAAACATTTTTCTCATAGGCCATGGCTAAATCTGAAAACAAAATTCTTACAATTGCAGGCACAGCATATGAAAAATGTTTGTCGTACATCACCATTTGCATAATCTTTTACAAATTGATGATGTATCAAAAGGAAAGCCGGGTAGTTTTTTTTTTCTTTTTAACTGTTTAATGAAATTTTAACTCAATCAAATCTTGTCACATTATTTGTTGGTAAACATATCTATAAGTGGTGATGTAAATGTAGCACAATCGGTAGCATATTTATAACGAAACAATTTCAAGGTGATGGAAATATACTTTATGCCTAACCATACAAACCACTTCAAGCAGAGACCTTAAAGCTAAACTCAGTACCTAAATCATTGGATTTCATCTCAATTTACCTAAAGCCTTTAGATTACGAAGACTGTTTTTCTTATACAAATAACGCCTACAATCTTACTGTGTCAGCTCGTATGAATAAACTATTCCATCCTTGTATATTTCCACTAACTTCAGATGTCTCTGCTGTTTAAATATCTTTGAAGATTGTAGGGTGAAATTATAATAAATCAAAACTAAACAGAGGGAAGAATTGCAGAGAAAATTTCTGTATTGATTTCTTCACTTGCCTTTCAAATGTTTTACAACTTATATCTTCTATATATTAAAAGTGGCTATGTAACGGAATTTCTTGTTTTTAACGGAAAAACTAACGGAATTTGTTGTTTTAATGGACTATGTAACGGAATTTCTTGTTTTAAACAGGCAGCTGCACCTTCCTTCAGTGTTTTTATCATAACTTTGTATAGGCTATAGGCTAACTCCGCTAAGTTTTACGCAACCTTTCGATTGAGTAGACGCTACAACTTTGATTCAGACATCATTCTCCAATTCGATCACTTTCTATGCCAAAAATAGGTCTCAATATGAGACTAAAACATTGGAGCATAACTTTTCGGATTGAAATTGATTTGTGATCATCTTTTGACTGAAATTGATTCCATTGACGTCTTCCTTTGTCCAATTGACTCTGAGCACTCTCAAATTTTCATTGTGAGGTTTGGCACAACTTTTAAGTATTTACATTTTAGTCCCCGAACTTTGGATCCCTTACAATTTAGCCCTTTCTCCAAATTTGTCAACTTTTACTTATTTTCTTCGATCTCGCCAACTTAAATCATACATCTAATTATTTATCAATTACATAAACATTACATCATTAATTATTTAATTAATGAAAAAAATTACATCTTTATTAATAACAAATTAATTCTTAAACAAAACTATTAAATATAAACTAGACAAACGTGCATTGCACATTACTTGCACCTAGTATAAATATACAATGCTGTGTAAATTAAAGAATTTGTTACAAAGGAACAACAGAAACGACAGCAAACCATGTGCTCTAACAGACTGGTAATGCAAAGCTTCTAGATCCTTTTACTTCTAGACTCTTCTCTCTTTGTTGGAGGCTGATGCAGCTTGAGTGGATGATTGTATGGACGCGTCACTTGCCAGCTGCCTGGGTTGTTCTTCATCATTTAACAGCCCTCTGCAAGATGGAGAGTAAATATCAACTACTCCCATCTTGTTCATGTGCGAGTGAAGAATGGAGGAATTCAATGCCTTAGTTAACATATCTGCCACTTGGGAATTAGTATGAACATACTTAGTAGTGATGCTTCCATTTTGTATTTTGTCTCTAATGAGATGGCAATCTATTACTACGTGTTTGGTTCTTGCGTGGAAAACGAGATTTGTGGCAATATAGATGGCAGACTTGTTGTCACAATATAATCTTGCCGCCTGACTGTGTTCAATCTGTAAAGCTTCAAATAGAAATCTCATCAATGTCAGTTCACAGCAAACTTGCGCCATTGCTCTATATTCAGCTTCAAAGGATGATCTTGAAATCACATTTTGCTTCTTCGACTTCCATGACACCAGTGAAGATCCTATAAATACACAATAACTTGTCACAGAGCTCCTAGTATCCGGACAAGCTCCCCAGTTAGAATCTAAATAACCCTTCAGCTGGAGATCAGACGTAGAGGAATAAAATAGGCCTTGACCTGGTGCCTTTTGAGATATCTTAACACCTTATGTACTGTATGAAGATGTGGTATTCTAGGCTTGTCCATATATTGGCTTAATAATTGAACTGAATAAGATAGGTCTGATCTCGTTATAGTTAGGTACATCAACCGCCCTATCAACCTTCTGTAGATAGAAGGATCAGCAAACAAATCCCCTGTGTCCTTGGACAGTTTAACATTTTGATCAAGAGGCAGTTTGGATGGTGCTGAACCTGTGGTGCCTGAGTCCTTCAAAGTGTCCAGAGCATATTTTCTCTGACATATGTATATTCCATGTTCTGATCTTGCCACCTCGATTTCCAAAAAATACTTTAGTTTTTCCCATATCCTTGATTTTAAATTTGCATCAAGAGCAACCTTGAGATTGTTGATGGTCAAAAACTTGTTCGCGTGAAACCCGTAAGCGTACGGGATCGTTGTACAAGTAATAAAATATGTGAGTTAAGAGTATCGTTCCCACGAGGAATAAGGTCTAATTTGTAGTTCTGTAGCTACTATTAATTTCAAAGTATTATGATATCAATATAATTATGATTTCTTTGTTATTTATTCTAATTCTACTCTAAAAAAGTAACTAAATATGATATTTTATCTATGTGAATGCTTGTATTGGATTCATGTATCTCCCTATTTCCACTTATTTCAATTCTCAATAATCATTCTATTCAATTCATGCATTTTTGATAATCGATAAAGCTAATATGTTAAATGTTCTTTCCCAAGATACACCGACTTATGACTAACACGAGACGATCATTTTCCTAGTCCGAATTCATATGAAAGTCACGCATTTGGTTTCGATTATCAATAAGATTGCATGTGTGAAAGAGATTATTCCTAATTCTAACTACACATGTTGATTTTACAGCGTTCTAAACTTATTGTGAGTATTCCTAACACTACAACAAGCAACTAACTACTTAATTGGTGATCAAGCAATAAGTAGTGTGATGAGTATGTAAAATCAATCAAATAATAACACAAAAATTCTAAATTGATATCTTGAATTAAAATAAATGAAGATAGGGTTCAGACATTCATCCAATACAATGAAAAACTAGTCTAACATATGTAAAATTAAATTACAAAGGAACAATTGGAAAATCATCACCCGGAAAGAAGAAATAATGAAGAATTAGGAATTTTCCACGTTCTTGATGTGAATCCTGAATCCGGATGAAAAATCTTCAATATCCTATGCAATTCGCCTTGATTCCACATTGTTAGCCACGTTTTTCGCCTCCAAAATATGTATAATATAGAGATTTTTAGGTCTAGGGAGGTTCTCCATATGTATTCTGCTGTTATCTCTTTATAGGAGCCGAAAATTGATTGAAAATCGCGTCCAAATTCATTTCCAAAAGAGTTCTAATTGAATAAGGAAAGTTGCCTTCGCGCACGAATTTTTTCTCTGCACAGCAGTCTATATTTTAGTCATAACTTTCTCTTCTGATATCTGATTGATGCAATTCAAAGTGCGTTAG